GGGCAGCTGGGGAGCCAGCAGATCCGCAACGTGGCGGTAGGACGCACGTTTACACTGTTCAGTTTGATAAGAATCCCAGAACCAGAAACCCTGTGAGGGGAAAGGCGACTCCTGTCAGGATGGAAATCACAACACATGCGGATTTGCTCAGCTGAAATATTAAAACAAACATATTTAACCATACGAACGTTTGCCCCGACTTTTAACGTGCTGCAGACATGAGTGAGCCCTTCGTTAGCTGTTAGCTGTTAGCTCGTCCAATCAGCATGCACACAGATATTAAAGCTCCTCTTTAACGTCCTGTTTCTGTCCTCTGCTGCCTTCATGTTGTGTGTTAGTCTGTGGGTGGAAACATCGTGAGTGCGTTTCCCAACTCGGACCTGAACCCGGTTCTGGCTGCTGGGAACTGCAGGGTCAGCCTCATCTCTGCCGGTGAGTGGCCACCTTTTTCTCTCCTCCAGAGAGAATCTGAGAAGTGAGCAGGTTTTCTTCAAACCCAGCAGGAGGCAGACGGGAGGTCCCACTGAACCAGGACTTCTTTGTGGGGTTTGGAAAAACCATCCTGAGACCAGAAGAAGTCCTGGTCTCTGTTTTCATTCCCTTTACAGCAAAGGTACTGGAGTCCTGACTGACACCTTTTCCCAGCTTCTTGCTGTTTCTTTATCTGAATCTGAGCTGTGAGTGGGGTTTTCTGGGGGGCAGAATTAGCTGATTTGAGGTGTGATGCCCTGTCTGTCCTGCAGGGGGAGTTTGTGGGAGCTCTCCGCCAGGCACCGAGGAAGGAGGCCTCCTTTGCCACGGTGACCACCGGGATGAGGGTCCGTTTCTCAGAGGGGTCCCGAGTGGTGGAGGACGTCAGTATCTACTATGGAGGAATGGGCCCCACCACCATCGGAGCCCCCAAAACCTGCAAAGCCATCCAGGGAAGGTGGGAGCAGCTTTTCCTTTTCTCCACGTCTGTGACCTCGTCCCTCCTCCTTTTCCCGCTGGGGGCAGAGGGGGGGTTGTGTCTGACGGCTGTCTCTCTGCAGGCCGTGGGACGAGGAAACCCTGACCCGGGCCTACGACGTCCTCCTGGAGGAGCTGGTCCTCCCTCCTTCTGCCCCCGGAGGGAAGGTGGAGTTCCGGCGCTCCCTGACTCTCAGCCTGCTCTTCAAGTTCCACCTGGAGGTCCTTCAGAGGCTCAGAGAGATGGTATTCAATTCAATTCAATTTTATTTATATAGCGCCACATCACAACAACAGTTGTCTCACAGCGCTTTTCAAACAGAGCAGGTCAGACCCTACTCTGAAGATAATTACAGAAACCCAACAGTTCCCACCATGAGCAAGCACTAGG